AGCTGCTCCCCTCTCTCCCCCTCTCTCCAGGGCTACACTCCAGTCACTGGAGCACTGGTCCCTCGGAAGGACTCCCCGGGCACGGACATCTTCCGCAATGACAACGGAGATTGCATCGTCCGTTCCGACCTGGGCTGCTACCTGCAGACGAAAGGTTTCCTGGAGAAGGGGCAGGATATCAAGATACTGAGGTTGCACCCCGCGTGTTTGGGTGGGGAGCACTACGTGGGCTGTGAGGGGGACCCCCGCATCTACATCCTCAAGGGCAACTCCTACCGGGTGGTGAAGAACCTGAGCATGGATGAGGAACCTGATGTCTTCGACTTGCATCCCAAGTGCCAAGGTGGGGACCATTATGGGAGGAACAGCCATGGATTCTTCATCGTTTTCCAAGAGCAGGGCAAAATCCGCTGGGTGACAGATTTGCGCACAGCTGCCGGTGAACGAAACGAGGATCTGCACCCTGAGTGCCGCCAGGGCCTTTACTACTTCAGGATCTTGGATCTCCTCGCTCTGATCAAGGTGGATGAGAAGTGGGGGGCTCAGTTCTACCTGTACAAGGAGGTGAGCTCTGCGGCCAGACTGATTTCCTTCTACTCCATCCACCCTGACATACTGAACTTTTTCCCTGGGGGCCTGACCCTCACCAAGGGCACCTCCACCGGTGGCTGGGTATGTATCAAGAACCTGAACAATGACTCCAAATCCTCCATCACTTGGTCCGACAAGGTCTCCCGCAAGGTGGGCTACGCCAAACAACAGAGGTCCATCATGGAGCACAACTGGAGCGTCTTGGTGGAGGTGTCCCTAGGGGGCACCCTCACCAAACTCATCACCCAGATCCAGTTCTCCTTCAAGGCCAAGTACGGCGGGAAAAGTGTCCACACGGAGCAGGAGGACTGGAGCGATGTCCAGGAAGAAGAGGAGTCACTCCAGGTGACCCTTGGGCCTAAAGAACACCTGTATATCTGGCAGTACCACCTTGGCATAAGCCAGGAGCCCATCTTGTTCTGTAAGGATATCCAGTTCACCAAAGACAACCACCCGCCCACACTCATCCCACTGCCTGTAGTCCCCTAAGTATCTGAGATGATGGAGAACAAAGGCACCGGAACGATATTCCGGATGTGTGCATGTGAGCGTCTTTGCCGGAGTATTGCTCCCTCCAGTTTCTCCCTGAACTGACCAAAATTAGTGAAGCTCGTCTGAAGAAGTGGGTTGTGCCCACAAAAGTTCATGAGACAGATCGAACCTCTCTAATCCAGAACTTTCTCATTTGGAAACATCCGGCGTCCAGAATGATTTGAGTTTGCCGGATGTCCACTTGTCATGGGCGTGGCCAAGTGTCTGGTGGTCCCAGAAAGTTTGCTTACAGCTCCTAGTCCTGGCTCCATGTTTTGTGTTGTGATTTAGCACTAATTGACCCCAAATATCTTCTCAGAGTGCAGCAAGCCGTGGATGTGTGGGCAATGCTGCTAGGCCAGCGTTCCGCGGTACAGTGGTGTGCCGTGAGGCAGTTGGAGGTGTGCCATGGAGAACAACAGAGTTCAAAATGGCCGCCCTTAAAGGGGTAAGGGTCATTTTTTTTTTTTGTTTTGTTCAAGAACTTTTCACCGGCCTTTTTTTTTTTTTTTTTTTTCTCAACAAAAAATCCTTGGTGTTCCTCAGTCTTAAACAGTTTAAGAAACTGTGCTAGACAATATAGACCTCCCGTGGTCCAGCAAATTCTCTCATTCAGAACTGGTCAGGTTCTAAGAGTGCTGGACTAGGGATGTTCAACCTATACTATGTATATTCCTGTTACTGGCGACTACTAATTTCTCCCTCATTCTTCCAGATGTTTCTCCTCCTCTTCTGGAGAGAAGCGGGCAAACCAAACAAAAATATATTGCCAACAAATGAAAACTTTTTTATTTGTGGTCAAGCATTTTCAGGTTTTCTGATCAAAAAATGACACCGATTTTTAGGAACGTGGACATTTGCTTTTGCAAAAAAAAATCCAGTTTTCACTAAAAAAACAAAACTTTAACCAGCTTTCACCACGATGACATTGGCAACAGGCAAGATGGCTAAGCTTCAGCCCTGCTGGCCATTCACTTGGTGGTGCAGCTGTCTCCTGGTGGCCACACTTGGTATCACATCCTTGTCCGTCTGCCTCTCCTTTTCCATGGTCTGGAAAACAGTCCCATTCCTGGCACTTCCCGTTTTCCGGCACAATCAAACTCTGGCCTTGCTTTCAGTTAGGAGAAGAGCAAGCTGCATATGAAATTGGGTGGTCCCAACTCTTCCCTTTTAGGAGTTCTCGAACAGACTGACAGATAGACAGACAGACTTGTAAAAATTAAATTAAATTAAATTAATGGAGATTGCCTATCTCCTAGAACTGGAAGGGACCTTGAAAGGTCATCGAGTCCAGTCCCCTGCCTTCACAGTGGGACCAAGTATCATCCCTGACAAAATACATATAGATAGATCATCAGTACCTCTAGTCTCCAAATGCACACTTCCCACAGAGTTGCTCCAGAACAGCACGGGGCAGTAGAATCATACACAACACAACAAAGCCAACATAGTGAATACAAATGAGAGTGAATACAGCGACTACAGGAGCGGACAAAAGCCCTCCTATGTCACACAGGGTCCACCCCACACTGGGTCCTGCAACACAACAAAGCCAACATAGTGAATAGAAATCAGAGTGAATACAGCGAGTACAGGAGCAGACAAAAGCCCTACTATGTCACTCAGGGTCCACCCCACACTGGGTCCCATCAACTTATTCTGCTCATTCTGTTGGATTTCCGGAATCGACAGGAAAGTGATCGGCGGGTGATTTAGTGGGTCTTCACTAGACCTGCAAAATCGCCCCCTGGGGGTCGATGGCTGCTGCGTCAATCTACCCATCAGTGGAGTACCCCCATCCACCCAGTTACCTCCTTTAATATCCATCCTCTTCTGGGTTTTCATGGACAGGCCTGGATTGTTCTAGATCCCAGCTCCAACTCGGCCGGGTGTAACATCCCGATTTTCCTCCTGATGAATTTATACGGCTGGGCCTCCACCCCCCTTGCTCCTCCCCAGGTGGATCAGCAGGGCAGCCGGAGAGGAAAGCTCTAATCCCAGGGTAAACCTCCCATACTTGCTTGATAGTTAGAGACTTCCCAGAAATAGCACACGCACAATATAGTTAACACAATAATTATATTAAACAGAAGTTAACGTAACGTAACAAGGTAAAACGGTATTCTCAGGTTCACCGGTGCCCACCTGGCTAATTCAATACCTTTGAATTGCCCCAGTCACATGATCCGATAGAGCAAATGGAAATACATCCGAGGCGCTTTGGCTGACCCAAGACCATGAGAACTTCTGTGCTACCATTGGTGACTCTGGCTTCTAAACAGCCTCAAAGACTCACATGTGATGAGCAATGCTCCTTCTGATTTTTCCATCCAAGTGCAGAATAATTGTATGTGCACCGAGGCACGTGTGAGTGCATGCCACCAGGAGAAACAGGAAACCTAGCCGTGGGTGCTCTACTAATTAGCTGGGGAGCACTGAAATCTTTCTTGGGTGGCCGCACTAGCCTTCAGCTTACAGGGTGTTAAGTCCCTTTGTTGTTTGAATAGGCCAGCAGTAAATATGACCCCCGATAGAGCAAATGGAAATACATCCGAGGCGCTTTGGCTGACCCAAGACCATGAGAACTTCTGTGCTACCATTGGTGACTCTGGCTTCTAAACAGCCTCAAAGACTCACATGTGATGAGCAATGCTCCTTCTGATTTTTCCATCCAAGTGCAGAATAATTGTATGTGCACTGAGGCACGTGTGAATGCGCACCACCAGGAGAAACAGGAAAGCTCGCTGTGGGTGCTCTACTAATTAGCTGGGGAGCACTGAAATCTTTCTTGGGTGGCTGCATTAGCCTTCAGCTTACAGGGTGTTAAGTTCCTTTGTTGTTTGAATAGGGCAGCAGTAAATATGACCCCGCTAGCCGTGGGTGCTCTACTAATTAGCTGGGGAGCACTGAAATCTTTCTTGGGTGGCCGCACTAGCCTTCAGCTTACAGGGTGTTAAGTCCCTTTGTTGTTTGAATAGGCCAGCAGTAAATATGACCCCCAAATCACTCTAGGGTACTCCCCGTTCCTCCCAAAGACAGAGTGCGAATCCCTACGTCACATGCACACAGAACCCCTGGGGCCGGGGCAAGTTCCGTGGGGATTACATAGACCTCTCGATAACGTTGCAAATGTGTCTTAAACATACACAACAAAATCGATTTCTGATCGTGACAGGTAAAAAGCCAGCACAATGACCTGAGTTCTATTCCCCCGACAGACTCAAATCCTGCACAGAGGAAGCCATGGGAAGTACCCCCAGACAACCCAGGCCATGATGGGGAGCCGAAACCAAAAACGATCTGAAGGTGAAACTTGTATTGCTGAGTCGTGCATCCAAATGTGCCACAAACCCCCAGAGAACAATCAAGTGGCTGTCTCCATCGTTTCAGGGTTCAAGCAGTAGCCTTGTAACACAGGGGTTGAGAGTTCAAATCCCACTGGAGCCTCATAGACAGGCTCTGGTGTTAAGAGCAGGTTGGATAGTGAGGGGGAAATTCTTTCTTGGGTGGCCGCACTAGCCTTCAGCTTACAGGGTGTTAAGTCCCTTTGTTGTTTGAATAGGCCAGCAGTAAATATGACCCCCAAATCACTCTAGGGTACTCCCCGTTCCTCCCAAAGACAGAGTGCGAATCCCTACGTCACATGCACACAGAACCCCTGGGGCCAGGGCAGGTTCCGTGGGGGTTACATGGACCTCTCGATAACGTTGCAAATGTGTCTTAAACATACACAACAAAATCGATTTCTGATCGTGACAGGTAAAAAGCCAGCACAATGACCTGAGTTCTATTCCCCCGACAGACTCAAATCCTGCACAGAGGAAGCCATGGCCAGGGGGGGGAGCCGATACCAAAAAAGTTCTGAAGGTGAAACTTGTATTGCTGAGTCGTGCATCCAAATGTGCCACAAACCCCCAGAGAACAATCAAGTGGCTGTCTCCATCGTTTCAGGGTTCAAGCAGTGGCCTTGTAACACAGGGGTTGAGAGTTCAAATCCTACTGGAGCCTCATAGACAGGCTCTGGTGTTAAGAGCAGGTTGGATAGACATCTATTGGGGATTATCTAGATGGCGCTAGGCCCTGTCGGGAGGACAGGGGGCTGGACTTGCTGCCCTTTTGAGGTACTTTCTGGTTCTAGATTCTAGTTATGGGATACAGGAGTGATTGTACATTGGAGAACAGCCCAGGAAGGAGGCTCACAGAGGCACATTCCACCCAGTAGCATGTTCTCCTCACTGATGACTTCCCTCTGCTAGGGGTGGTCCAGCCGAAGCCGATATCCACTACCAAGCCAGCTCCAGATCCGGTCACTCCGTGGCATTCGGGAGAGAATATACGGTGGAAACGGGACTTCCCGCTGCCTTAGCCATGGCTGCAGCAGAACCGAGAGTCCATGGTTGTGTCTGGGCTGGGCTGTACGGCCCTTTCTTGTCTCCTATGGGGGGAAACCGAGTCAGAAATCGATTCAGCTGGAGACCTCTTGGGGATTTCTCTTACCCTCTGGAGCCAGGTCGAGAGGTGACCTGGTGTATATACTCCAGGCTGGGATGGCAGGGGTTAAAGGCAATACTGGACCTCCCCCTTCCAGCCCTACCCAGAATGCTCCAGTGAGGGGTTGAAGAGGGCACAGTCCCGCTCAGGAAGGAGGAGGCTGGGAAGGAGTGGACACTCCACAGGCTCTTGCAAAAGAATTAGAGATGCCTCCCTGTGGGGTTGCTAACCACTAGACCATCCCACCCAACGAAGGACCCAACAGAGGGCAATCTCAGTGGTGGTTTTCCACCACCAGGACCCTTATATCCCACCAGGCCCCATCATGGAACTCCCTCGGTGCTTGGCTGCATCACCAAAGGGTGGGTGCTCAGTTTTAGGGGGCGATGTGGCTACCATGGGCAGGGTGGCATCGCTCACCTTGACTCCTCCTCAGGTGCCAGCCCAGGGCCCCGAGGCCCAGCAGGGAGAGGATGCAGCCAGCCACGATCAATGGGAGCAGAGCCTGGCCCATGGCCTGGGAATCTGGAAATGCCCCAAGACAGGCTGAGCCTTGGGCTCCCCCCAAAACCCTGCTCCCCATTTCCTGCCTGATAATTCTAGGCAAGCAATCTCCGTTCTTGCAGGCTGCCCCTCCCAGCCACCCATCCTCCATGGGGATGCCTTGAAGCTAGAAACCGCATTCACTCCTTCTCTGTCAGCCCCCCGGTATCTTCTCTCCGGTTATCCCGCCTTCTGAGCCCTCCAAATCCTGCCTCCGGCTCCCCCCGTCTCTGGGAACTCTGTCCATCCAACCATCTCCAGGTGCCCCTGAAACTCCTCCTCTCCATTTCATACCACCCTCAACCCACCCTGAGTAGGGGTCCCTCCCCTGTTCTCAGCCTCGCCCCTGGCTCTCCCTGCCCTGCCCCCCCCAGTACTCACCCCACGTCACCCTCAGGGGGGTGTTCCCCAGGCTGCTGTGTCTCACCACACACACGTGCTCTGCGGGGCCAGCCCTCTTCTGCCCCAGCTCGATGGACACCTGGATCTGGAAGGTGGGGTCCCCGTTGGGCCGGATTCCACTGCTCAGCTGCTCCCCCTGGGCCACCTGGCCCCTCCGCTCCCAGGTCACCTCGATGTCGCGGGGGTAGAAGCCCGTCACGTGGCAGACAAGGCGGCGCGGCTGGGCCTGGGTCCCTGGGACGAGGACCACGCGGGCCGTGGGCTGGGCTAGGAGTGGGGAGAGAGGGTTACTTATCCCAGGGACTGGAAGAGTAGGGGGCCAGGGATTAGGACTGACGCATGTCCACAGAGGTCCCACCTGTCTTCTGAGCTGTGAAAGGTGCCGAGTTCTCGATCCAGAAGCGGCATTGCTGGGGCATGAAGAGTTTCATGACCCCGACCATCTCCCCGGCCCGGTTCCAGCGCTCCGCCACCCGCCAGGCCGCCGGGTGCACTGAGAACCAGCGGTTCTGGTCCGACTGGTACCGCAGGACGTCCTCCCCGTTGAGGGCATAGCGGGTGACGGCTCGGATGGCGCCGGTGGCATCGTCCAGCTCACAGGTCTTCAGGACCTGCATGTAGTAGGGCTCTGGGGGCAGAGGGGCTGGGTGAGCAACTGAGCTGCCACCAGAGGGCAGATGTGGGGCAATGTTCTCTCATGTATGGAACCCAGGAGTCCTGTCGTCCGGCCCCCCCATACACACAATCCACCTCTCCCAGAACAGGGGTAGAACGGAGGAGTTCAACCCTCACCCCTGGACTATTCCCCTACCTCATCTGGAGAAGATTCCCGGCTCCCAACTGGCCCTACTCTAACCACTACACTTCTCTCCCTCTAGGCACCCCAGAGCCTTTGTTCCTCCCCTTCTCCCCGACTCCGAATCTAGGAAATCATCCCCCTCTAGCGTCTGCTCCCCAGCTCCTTTGAGGCATCCAATTGTCCCCTTCTGGAGCTCAGGGACTCACCTGTGTTCGGGACGCTGGCGTTCACCTCCCGCACCAGGGCCTGGTACTCGGTCTCCACCCAGGAGTCCCAGACGGGGCACCGTGCGCTGCGCACGCTCCAGAACTGGTGGCCGCTCTTGAGGAAATCATCCCCCTCTAGCGTCTGCTCCCCAGCTCCTTTGAGGCATCCAATTGTCCCCTTCTGGAGCTCAGGGACTCACCTGTGTTCGGGACGCTGGCGTTCACCTCCCGCACCAGGGCCTGGTACTCGGTCTCCACCCAGGAGTCCCAGACGGGGCACCGTGCGCTGCGCACGCTCCAGAACTGGTGGCCGCTCTTGTCACCTGGTGTCGCTGTCGTAGGCCGACAACAGCAGGTCGTTCATCCTCTCCACACTCAGCCGCCTGGGGAGGCCTGGCACCGCCGGCGGGGAGATGAGCTGGAGGTAGGAGAGACGGTGCACCCCTGGAGGAAGCAGAAGGGATGGAAATGGGACCTAGATATGTGCCACACAGTCCCTCTGCAGCACCTGGGGAGAGAGACGGGGATTATGAATGGGTCCCTGGAGAACAGGGAGCCACCTACCAGCCAAGGCGACGGAGCAGAGAGACAGGAGCCAGAAGGACGCGGAGGCCGGTTTGGCCGGAGGTCCCATCCTGCTGGAGAGCAGCTTTGTGGGATGAGGCCAGAGACCGCAACCCAGAGCTCTGCGGAAGGCCCGGCTGCCTCTCCTTCCTCTAAGCCCTCCGCGGCTCTGACAGGAAACGCGAGGGGAAACGACCCGCCGGCGGAGCGAAATTCTGCTCAGACAAACCGGCTCCCTGAGTCACTCTCCCACGAGACGGTAAATATTGCATCACGCCTCTTGCTTTTTGTCCCGGGTTGCTCAAGCTGAGCATGTGTTGACTTGGTGGGGAGGGGTCCAGTTGTCAGCTGACCCCTACCCCCGGCTGTCCGAGGACACTAGATCTGGGGGTGTTATCGTGGAGGTCAGGAGGGCGGCATGTTGTGTTGGCAGCTTCCCAGACCTTCTCTGCCGGATGTTACGGCCTTATCACTGCTCCGAGTACAAGGCGCATCCCTTATTGAAAGACCTGGGTCCTTTGGTGCTGTGCAGGGAAAGCTAAAGGGATTGTGCGCACCTGTCTGAATGCACAGCCCTGTGCTCTCCTGGCACGGGCGAGTGCACGGAGCTGTACGTCCTGGAGGTGCCCTGCAGGGCTGTGTCTGGAAAGGGGCGTCTCCCTGCTCACTGCCTCTTTGTCTCACATCCTCAGCAGAGCAGTGTCCCTGCGGGTTCCCGGCAGCTGTGGGGAGGAGAAGCGAGGGGGCAGGGCACCGGGACCCATGGCCACCGTGGAGAATACCAGGAAGCAACACACACACTCGGAGCGAATTGAAGTGACTCCTGTTGAAATGATCAGCTGGTCGGGCTCTCTGTGCATCCATCTGTCTGTGCGTCCGTCCCTCCAACTGTCTGGCTGTTGAAGAACTCCCCCTGAACAGTAAGAGCGAAGCCCCCCCCCCCAAAACAGGGTAGGCAGCATCCTGTAATGGTATCTGAAAGCAAGGTCCTGGTTGGGTTGTGCCTGGACAATGGGATGTGCCGGGAATGGGATTGCTTCTCAGAAAAGCAGGCAGAAGAGAGACGGACTCACCAGGCAGGTGGAAGAGGCTGGGGGAGAGGCAATCCCCCCTCGCCTCCTCGTCCGGGACTGCCCCAGCCCAAAGTCTCCTGTCCCAGGCACCCTTTAGAGAGGGTGGGGGGCCGTAAATCCCCCTCCATTAATAAGGGAACTTTGCTGGCTGTTCCCCTTCATCAGGGAGCGAGGGGGAAGTGCCCAGTTTGCTGCGTTCCTCACTCCAGCTGGACAGCACAGGGGGTACAGGAACTTGGACCTGCCCCAGCTGGGGGACATGTCCTGAGCCCCCAACTCTGACTCCTGCACCCCGAGCCTCCTCCCGGAACCCGTACTAACCCCCAACCTTCACTCAAGCATCCTCCACAGCTGCCTCAAGCCCCTCCTCACCCTCAACCCGACTCCTGCACCCCCACACTGACCCTGAGACCCTTCTCAACCCCCAACCTGACTCCTGAACCCCAACCCTGACCCTGAGCCTGTCCTTGACCCCCAACCCGACTCCTGCACCTTCACACTGACCCTGAGCCTCTCCTTGCCCCCAGATCCTGACTCCTGCACCCCCACAGCTGCCCTAAGACCCTCCTCTCCTCACCCCAACCCTAACTCCTGCACCCCCACACTGACCCTGAGTCTCTCTTCACCCCTGAACCCTGACTCCTGCACCCCCACACCTGCCCAGAGACCCTCACTCCCAAACCTGGCTCCTGTAGCCTGATCTAAGATTATGTTAAATGTTAATTACTCACCTTTAGGGTTAACCAGTTCTCTGTCCCAGGATCAGGCCCAGGATCCAATTATGCTATGACTGGGGACCCTGATGTGCACGGTTGCAACATTCACAATATAGACACCCTTGTGTATTTACAATATTTACGGTTTATTAAGGAGGTTGGCACCGTCACAAACTCGTCAATTTCATGAGACAGGGAATGTCCATTCATAGTTCCTTATCTACTGGCATCATCCCTTCTAGGACAATCTTAGGTGTTAGCCCAACATCTCTCTCATTACCTTCATCTTCTCCATCATCACCAGGGGCCGTTCGTCTGGCACTTCCAATTTGTTGCCGTGGGCCTTTGCGGTTATCTATCGCAACTTGTGACTTAATGGTTCAACTCAGCCTGTACCAGTTATTTGGGACTTATATTTAATAATACATCTACTGAGTCTGAGGGTCTTGTTACCCCCATCCTGTGTGGGTGAGAGTTCCAGACCTAAGTTCTCCCTTTTCAAGCCCGGGGAACCATATATAAATTATGACCAGTATCAGGGTGCGACCATGTCCCAACCACGGAAGTCTGCAAACCTCAGCTCCTGCTGGTCTTGCAAACAGCCTGTTGCAGCCTGGACAAAAGATAAAATATGTAGGCAATAATTCTGGACACTGGATATGCGTGAAAACAAGCAGAGCATTTATTGCACACACAGCACTGGTGGAGTGTCCCTCAGGGGTTAACCCGGTGAACACTGCTTAACCAAAACATTACCATAGATTATATAGGTGGCAGGTGGACGGAGGGGAAGGGATCTGATAGGTCTAGCAGCAGAGACGAAATGAGCACGTAAGCCAATAAACTTCAAGAGATTACATAGCGTCTCCGCGCATCGCCAATGAGCTTATTAATAATACAGGTCGTTATCCCTAACAAGCGAAATAAGCCAACATCAGCATTAGACGTTTAATGGTAGCTTCGACAATTATGATGCGTCCACTACGGGATGAGACCGTCTTGCGTTGGCGTGTTCCCATCTGGAGTCTCAGGCTCATTATCTAGGATCAAAGGAAGATGTAAATACAACTTCTACTCGTTAACTTAAAGCTTATTGTGATACCCGCTAGTGCCTGATCTGACTGGCTGTGTCTACATTGGCACCCTTTTCCGGAAAATGAGACACTTCAGAAATGCAAATTCCGCGGGGGATTTAAATATCCCCTGCGGCATTTTAATGAACATGGCTGCCGCTTTTTTCCGGCTCGGGGTTTTGCCAGAGAAAAGCGCCAGTCTAGACGGGGATCTTGCGGAAAATAAACCCTTTTCTGGAAGATCCCTTATTCCTACTTTCAAGGGTTTATTTTCCGCAAGATCCCGTCTAGACTGGCACTTTTCTCCGGCAAAACCCTGAGCTGGAAAAAAGCGGCAGGCATGTTCATTAAAATGCCGCAGGGGATATTTAAATCCCCCGTGGCATTTGCAATTCCGAAGTGTCTCATTAGCATTCCTTTTACGGAAAAGGGTGCCAGTGTAGACCCAGCCATTATGATCATGCTAGGAAAGTAACTTGATAGGCTACACTCCTCACCTCCACCCCTGCTCTGAACCCCTCACCCCCCAACCCTGACTCCTGCACCCCCACTCCTGCCCTGAGCTCCCCAATTCTGACTCCTGCACCCCCACACCTGCCCCATGCCCCTCAGCCCCCAACCCTGACTCCTGCACCCCTACTCCTGCCCCAAGCAACCCAATCCTGACTCCTGCACCCCCACACCTGTCCCATGCCCCTCACCCCCAACCCTGACTCTTGCACACCCACTCCTGCCCTGAGCTCCCCAATTCTGACTCCTGCACCCCCACACCTGCCCTGAGCCTGTCTTCACCCCCCACCCAGACTCCTGCACCTCTCCCTGCCCCCCCATTCCCAAAAGTGGTTATAAGAAGGCATCGTTTCATTGCAATTTTTAAAGCTGAGAACATGCCTGAGTCCACATGCTACCAGGGCTAAAGTTTTCCTCCGAGCATATCCAATGGCACATAAAACATTCATGCTCTGTGTAACCGCCCAGCTTTAGCTGTGTAAACAATAAAAGAAAGGAGGGGAGGAAGATTTTCTGTCTTTACCCATTCTGGGCGTACAGCCAAAGAGGTGATAAGAGCTGGCTTGTTTTTAAACCGCTTTCAGCCACTTACCCGTAGTAGCTTTCAGTTTCATGTCAGCTAGAAAGGAAGCGAGTTGTAAGTCCGCCAGCTGGGTTTGCTTCCGAAGGGTTTAACTGTCGTTTCCTGCAGTACGGGATCAAGGGAAGATCTGCAAATCCCAATTTTAGGACAAGGAATTTGCCAGCCTTAAAATATAACCAAGGACTCCCGCCTCCTTAAGAACACAAGAACGTAAGAACGGCCAAACTGGGTCAGACCAACGGTCCATCCAGCCCAGTTTCCGGTCTGCCGACAGTGGCCAACGCCAGGTGACCCCGTGGGAGTGACTTGAACAGGTAATGATCAAGTGATCTCTCTCCTGCCATCCATCTCCACCCTCTGACACACAGAGGCTGGGGACCCTATTCCTTACCCGTCCTGGCTAATAGCCATCGATGGACCTAACCTCCATGAATGTATCTAGTTCTCTTTTAAAGCCTGTTTAAAGCTTGGCAAGAAATGAAATATGTCTCAATTTTCAGCCAATAGATTTGTCTTTCTTGGAGCAGCCTTTTGCCAAATACTTTGACTTTCAGTCGTTGGCATGTTTTTTGC